TTCCCATGGCGTCATTGGGCCTTCTGGTGGGCCCGGAGTGGGCCACATCCGATGTGGCAACCCCCCGCACAAGGCGCCCCGTTCTCCCTTTCGGGCCACTTGATCCCCTCAACCTCCGCTCTTCCTCTCTTTCTTCCTCCTCCTCGTCAAGAAGCGGAAAGAGTTCCTTTCACCACCTGCTTCGATCCGTGTTCGTGTCGTTGAGCACCGTGGGGAATCGAGACGAGCATCATCATCATGGAAGGCAGCGGCTTCGATGATCTGATACAGAGGCTGATGGACGCCAAGAAGAGCAAGGCCAGCGGGAAGAAGGTGCAGCTCAGCGAGCTGGAGATCCGCAGCCTCTGCGCCACCGCCAAGGGCGTCTTCCTCAGCCAGCCCGTCCTCCTCGAGCTGGAGGCGCCGATCAACATCTGCGGTGAGACCCCTCGTCCTTCGTGGGATTCCAATTTCTCTTCCTCATCTCCTCGTGTAAGCCTCGGTGGGACTCTGTTTCCGTACCTCAGGCGACGTGCATGGGCAGTTCTCGGACCTGCTCCGGCTGTTCGAGTACGGTGGCGTGCCGCCCACCTCCAACTACCTCTTCCTCGGGGACTACGTCGACCGGGGGAAGCAGAGCATCGAGACCATCTGCCTCCTGCTCGCCTACAAGATCAAGTACCCCGACAACTTCTTCCTCCTCCGCGGCAACCACGAGTGCGCCTCCATCAACCGCATCTACGGCTTCTACGACGAGTGCAAGCGCCGGTTCAGCGTCCGCCTCTGGAGGCTCTTCACCGACTGCTTCAACTGCCTGCCGGTGGCTGCCATCGTGGACGACAAGATCTTCTGCATGCATGGCGGGCTGTCGCCGGAGCTGCAGAGCATGGACCAGGTGAGGGAGATCGAGAGGCCGGTGGACGTGCCGGACCAGGGGCTGCTGTGCGACCTGCTGTGGTCGGATCCCGACCGGGAGATCAAGGGGTGGGCGGACAACGACCGAGGGGTCTCCTACACGTTTGGTGCGGACAGGGTGGCGGAGTTCCTGAGGAAGCATGATCTCGACCTCATTTGCCGAGCTCATCAAGTAAGTGCTGTGTTCTTCCTTCTTCACATTCTTCGCATCAAAACAGCAACTTTGCAGGTAATTATTCTGAGCTTATTATTATTATTATTATTATTATTATTATTATTATTACTACTACTATTATTATTATTATTATTATTATTATTATTATTATTATTATTATTATTATTATTATTTACTGTGATTGAGTTGAAACGAAGCAAAAAAGATGGCTATTTGAGGTAGATTATACGATTTTATTTAGGAAAACAATATTTTGGGTTAAATTAAAAAGTAAAATATTTTCTAAGTTTTATTTTTATATTTTTTACCATTAATAACTGTATGTGAATTCTTTTAGAAAATGACATTTTAGGAGGTCAAATTAAAAGTAATATCTATCTAAGTTTTATTTTATATTTTTTAACCATTAATGCTAATTATATCGCATCGTTTAACTATAATATTTACAGTTTTTTTAGCATATTATTGTCCCATCTCCTATTTTATTTTATTCTTAATGACAATAGTTTTATCTCACTGATGCTAGAGCTCATAAATACATTGAATTCTTTTTATAGGAAAATATGATACTATCTCAAAGATTTAATTGAGTAATCATAAATCTTGAGATTAAAAAATTATATAGTATCTATTTTTTTGTTTGAGCTTAGATGAAAAAATCTCTCTGAATACTCTATATTTAGAGGTAAGACAGATCAATTTGCATGTCAAAGAATATTTTTAGGCTTATAAATATATTATATTCTTTTCTAACAACTTCAAAATTTTTAGCCTATTATAATCAATTCAAATTTTTATCAAATGATATATATATTTTTTATACATTATATTTTACTTGTATGATATTTAGGTCCATAAAAGCACCATTGGACTAAGGTGATGGTGGTGGTGCAGGTTGTGGAAGATGGGTATGAATTCTTTGCAGACAGGCAACTGGTGACCATCTTCTCAGCTCCAAACTACTGTGGAGAGTTCAACAATGCTGGAGCACTAATGAGTGTGGATGCAAGCTTGCTCTGCTCATTCCAAATCCTCAAGCCTTACAGAGGAAAGCCAGGGGGAGTGAGTGGCTGATCAACCAACTATGCTCCTCAGCAACAGAGGCAGAAGAAAGAATAGATGGCAGCATTGCATCAAGCTGTTTGCTCTCACTTTGCACACCAAATGTAGTACTCAATCTGTGTATATAAACATGCCAAAGTAGATTTCATTTTTCATTCATCTTTCCTAGTGTGTAATCTCAAAATCTTTGAATTGAGAGTAGATCTTGCTAGCATCTCAATTTGCTGTTTGATACAGAAACAGTAATGAGGTTGAGAATGATTTGGATTTTTTCATCTCAAGCAAGAAACTATGATCTTATAATTGAAATGAAAAATAAATGAGAAAGTGTTTATGGTAGCTTGGTGTGGCATTCTCTATGATTCATTGGTGAATTATCATTGCTCATGATCCTATCAAAACAATGCTGTCTTGAAAGTTTGATCATGATTCATTGGTCAATTTTTTCCAATCCTCCTTTGTTTTCCTTTCTTCTTATAAAAAATGGGAGACAATATTGTTACAAGTCCAAATAAGTTGGATGAGAGAAAAAAAAAAAATCAGTATTCAATGGACAAAGAAAAAGGTAAAAGACCTAAACAAGTCCAACTGAATGATTTTTAATCGCGGTGCAACTAGATCAAGCTGATTTTATAATATCCAAAAAATAATTAAAACCTCATCTTCATCTTATTTATAGTTATTGCCTGAGATCAGTAAGTTGAAACTATGGACAGAATAAAAAGAATGTCAGATAATTCATGATACAAGTGAAGATTCTACTAGTGAGAAGGACAAGCAACATTTCTATAATGAAGCATCAATCTGCTGAATCAAAGGCTTCCCTCAAGTCTGCTTGCAGAGTGCAACACTACAAGAAGTCATCTCAAGATTGCAAGTGAAGAAATCAGAGCATATATTTTTGAAGAATCTGGCTCAACATAGAATAGACCAACTCAGCACAAAGAAATGAAAAAAAAAAAGACCAAGAAAAGGGGAAGTGGAAGATTACTAAATGCCAGTTTCTATAAAAGCAGAAATTAGTACAAAATTTTATACCTGCGAAGAATGGAAGATATCGTTATATCCATTTAAGTAAGATACTGCTGGTTCATACAAGTTTAACAAATTCACTAAGACATATTGGCAACCACAAGCAGGTAGAAGCTAATTGTCGCTACTCCCTTTTATCTTCTTCGCGGTCCTCATCGTGTGAGGCAGTAGCATTGGTGCTCACAGTTAATTTAGCCTCCATCAGACTGGCAGAACTACGAGCATCCTTCGAAGGAATTGGTCCTGGCTTTAATAGAAAAAGTGAATCCTCTCGCTCAAAATCTTCAGTTCCATCATCTGAGTAAGCATATCTGAAAGATAAAGGTGCAAGTCATAAATCCGGATAGCACTAACAGAACGAAAATAGATATTTAAAAGATGCTAGTGTAAGAAATCAGGAAAAGCAACAATGCACTGCCGTCAACATTCAAACCACAATCATAACATATCTTTGAGCTTGCATTATTTAGGAGAATGGAACAATAAATTTAGTCAGCCTACATTCAGGCCAAAAGAAGTTCTCATGCTATAACAAAAAATGGTAAAAGCATATGAGTTCTATACACGCAACCACATGGACTGCCTGCATTAATTTTAGAAATTTACTGCTCTTTCAATAGAGTTTATAAATACTACTTTTTCATAGAATAGTTGTGAGATGGTGACAATTTTAAACGATAAAATAGTGAGATAGTAACAACTTAAAACAATAAATAGCCACAAAATTCATGCCATATAAACCCCATTTGTTTTTGGTAGCAATGGTATTTCTGTCATGTCAATGCTTAAATTATTTGGAGTACCATCCAGAAAAAGTAGACATAAAATTGGAAAGAAGAAAGTTAAGTGCAGGATCCTTGAGATCCAGGACTATCACCTCATTGAGTTTTGAGAGGGTGCCCAAAGAGCTGCAATCACACAGAGAAGAGCAAAGGAGAGGACCTGCCAAAAGGCAGAAATAATCCAGGCATTCTGCCACTGCTCGTTATATACATCAGTTGACTTGAAATAAAGCTGCAAAAAGAAGAGCACATTAACATGCAAGGCAGTAGATAAAATATGCAAGGAGATAAAATCATCTAGTGTGGTACCAAGAAAACCAACTGTGTCAATGTATAAATATGCAAGCAAAGAGTGATCCCAGATTACTCTACCATATGAAGTAAGTACACCAACGAGCAAGAGATATTATGTTCTTAATTTCATAGTACTAACTTTCGGCACCATCAAAGAATCAATTCAGGTATCCAGGGCATAAAATTTACTGCCACTAGTCTTGTATACTGCACACTGCAAGGTTGCCTGAGCAAACTAACTGTTTTCACGATGATGAAAAATAGATGGTCATTACCTCATAGCCAATCCAACAAACAGATACAACAACAGCTACAACCAATGCATTCGTGAATTTCCTATAAATATCTAACTTGGCCATCAATCGTCTTGCCTGTAGAAATATATTAAAAAAAAGAGCAATTATTAGGCTAATTTTTTAGACAACTTTTGGCAAAAAGATGTTTATGGCATAAATTGTGCCAGCCATTAGGGTAAATCAGAAATGTGCAAGTACCTGGAGTTTGTCCAGAGTCTTGGAAAGAGAAGTAAATATCCAAAGAATAAAAAATGCATCCAAGAATGCCACAGGAAGAACCAAAATCAATCTTGCTTTTCCGGCAAGATCGCTTACAGCACCAACATTCTCTACCAACTCAAGTATCTCAGATGCTAGAAAAAATGTTGCTCCAAGCATAATCACCTTAGAAGTGAGACCTCCCAGAGTAGGCCTGACAACTCCGAACCCCATTGAAACAACAAGAATAATTATCCGTGACACTGTTCTTTTAACTGTACCAAAGGTTACTGCCCAAAAGGTGATCCCCATTGGTCTGAATCCGGTTTCATTAAATTTAGCATACTCAAAATACCACAATGTCATTTCAAACATACCCAATGCGATGACAAATGTTATACAGTTCTGAAGTGGAAGAACCTCCCTCCAAAATCTCACATACTGGGAAAACCAAAATATTCCAAGTATCACGAATGCAAGAGACATGAATCCATAAAAGTTCATGAGAGGAGCCATTCTTCCTGGAAGGTATCCAGTGGGATTTTTCCACACGGTCTTCCCATCTATGACCAACCCATTGAGTGCTGGATCACAATATATAAAATACAGGTTATACATCCCAGTTCTTGTGATGGGTATGCTCTGGGACGGCAATGTTGCAACAAGATCCTTTCCATTAAAAGTAGCAGCAAGCACTTGAGGCCAGTTAGGGTTTCGAGAGGAGGGTCGGTAGATGACTTTGCCCTGAGTGCAAGCACCTAATTTTGCCAGATCTGGTGTGCAGCAAACAGCTCGCTGACCACCATAAGCTGAACCACCAATTGTCTCCCGATCTTCTACTTCAAATATGATGGCTTGCACTACAATGGGATCAGTACTTTTACTATTTTCTACAGATTGCTCCATCCGTGTGAAAGTGATCTTCTCGAAGCTGAAAATAAAGGATGGAAAACCATGAGAAATCTTGTATAGTATTATCATAACAGGTTTCCCTTTATATGGCACAAGAAATACTATTCATATTTTTAGTTTGATTTTGAGAAGAAAATCTTGCAAACTAATTGTCCTTTCAGACTAAAACTCAGATGTAAAACATTTTATTTCTCTGTGTCAATTTATACTTACAGAGACATACATATAAATATATACATATAAATCTTTAAGCCCCAAATAAAAAGAAAAAACACGCTACATATCCAAGAAATAAATTGCACCAACAAGTGATCAAGGTAGCAGAAAACATCCTAAACTCTCACTAACGAACTAATCAAAGATCATCTGGTCACCATTTAGGAGTTGCAATATTCATGCATTTAATTATCTACACTTAATTACTTTTTAATGATTGTGATGCAAATGGAATGGGGCAGAGGACCATAGAAATGGTATAAAGAAGATAATTTTTTATGCAATATAACAAAGAAAAGTGAAAGAGAAACGAAAAAGAAGAAGAATAGAAAGAAAAAAAAAAAGATAAAATGCAACATTGTTATTCAGAAATATTGATATTTCTCCCTTAACTCCTGTTTGTAAACAACTAAGGGTCACCAAAATAACGTTTCTTCTCACTCTCTCTAGGGCCTTTATAAAGACTACCCCCTAAAAGTTGCATTAGTAGAAAACCCAAAAATTCTAGAAACTTAATAAGATAACAAAGGTCCTTACTATATCTCACATTTTTGGATTTCCTAACAAACTAAATAGAAATAAGACTACAAATTACTAAAATTTGTAATGGTTTCCCCTAAATAATCAACAACTTGGAACCAAATATGACAACTGAAAGCTTTGGAATGTCACTAGAGAGCTAGAAGAGGCATTTCCAGGGCATCTAAACTGACTAAAGATTGAAATTTATGCAAAAAGTTGGACATCATGGAAATTTGATGGCGCATGTTTGACTGCATCCAATTCCCTTCTCTTAATCTGTATAATTTGTTCACACCAAAACCATGCAACAATGATAGTTATACCAAACAAAACATGCAATTGCATTTGAAAATTTCTGAACTAAAACTGGTACTAATAGAATCAATCCAGAAAGTGATTTTACAGCAACAAAATTGAATTTTTGACCGATCGAACAGGCAATTGATTTTAAATATAAAAATCCTCATGATGCCCGGATCCAAGCACCATTCCAGCGACAAGCCCTCGAACCTCCTTCAAGGACCACAGCTTCTCATATTACGATACCCAATTCCTTTAAACCCGCAAATCCACATCAAGAACGCTCCAGATCTAGCAAAGAATCGAGGGCGCGGGGAATTACCGGATGAAGGCGTCCCCGAGGCCGGCGGTGGCATTGGGATCGGGGAGGGAGGCGAAGAGGCCCTCGCTACCGCCGTGGAGGACGAACGCATTGCCCTTGGGCGCGAACTTCTTGCCAATGTAGCTGTGCACCGAGGCGTTGACGGATGACGATGAGAAGAAGCAGACGACGAAGAAGAAACCACCGAAAATAAGGAGACGACGAGGAAGAGCAACAGTGGAGGGATCGACACGCGGCATTGGAGGATGGAGATCGAATCAAGATCGAAATGGCTCCCTCACTACCCTCGAAGGGAAGTGTGTGCGCGAGAGCGAGAGAGAGAGAGAGATCCCTCACTGCTTCTGCCACCGCTGCTAATGGCGTTATGTCGGCTGTTTGGACTCTTTAATGAGAGACGGGCTTCCTTCCGACACAAATTATACTTCTTCTACGCACCAACAGAAGTACCGGCATTACTTTCACTGACAAGCAGCAACGGAGTCAGATGTGGGACCCTAATAAAACCAATATCTCTTAGGATAAACACATGGGTAGGAAAGCCGGGTTAATTTGTCGGATCCAAAAACGTTCTTATGTGAGCCCGTTATTCTAAACCGGACCCAAATCAATGGTCCTCGATTGGGCCTAATTGATCCTACTTACCCGTCGTCCGGCCCAAACCCAAAGCTTTAGGGGCCCGACGAGAGAGCGTCTTATCATAAACATCCATCGCCGCAGCGATCGGCTCTTCCTTTTCGAGGAGAGGGAGGGAGAGGCGGTGAGGGAGATGTCCGCTCTTTTCCTCTTCAATCCTCCGAGCTGCTGCTCTCGCCTCTCGCTTCGCCCGAGCCATCGTCGCCACCCGTGCCCTAGAAATGTCGATCTCCTTTCCGCATGGTGCCTAACTCGCTCTTCTATGCTATGAGACCTCCGGTACTTGAGGCGGATTTTGGACTCACGTGGGGCGTTTTGCAGGAAACCTAAAGTGCCGAGGAGGACGCGCGTTGTGGCTCCCAGAAGCCCCAGTTGCTCCATGGACGTCGCGCTCGGCGGTGTTGCCGACGGCGGGAGCTATGATTTCAGTAAGAAAAGTGGAACTTTTCGATGATTTCCAGCGAGAAACATCTTTGTTAGTCTGAGTAAAACAAGTGTCTGTGTACTTTCTATTTGCTGAACAAAGGAAATGAAAGAATCCCTAAAAGCTTAAGTCTCTTATTGGCTAGCATTCATTCGCATAACGTTTTGGTTTCGGTGTCATGATTGTTTTTGTTATAAGAAATTGATTTATGATTCCCTATTCTTGTAAATCATCATATTGTGAAAATTGCCACCTTTGGCATGAACAAAAGGCTCAAGTAAATAGCTCAAAAAACCAAAATTATTATACAAAAAAAGAAAATGAACGAGTAGTGGGCTCTTGGGAGTGTCAGTTGAGCAATAGCAATTTGTTTGAACCACAAATTCAGATGTATTGGTAGTGTGGATAAGTTATAAAATAACATATAAAATATTTGTCTGCATTTAGACGTGTAGTGAGGTATTGATGACATAAAAGTAGGAACTTTTGAGTTATTTTTTATCCCACCTTTTTAATCTATAAATAATGGATACTGGGCATGACGGTTGTAGATTCTCTATGTGTTCCATATACTATTTAAAGTATCCGACATGTCTAAATATCTGGCAAGAATTGGTGTCCAACATGGACACGGCAAGCATTTTGAAGTGTCTATGCTTCATAGCTTCTGATGGTACTTTATTACTGAATTATATTTGCACTTCTTCAATTGCATCTATTGAATTGCCCCAGATACAATCTGTTGGCCGTACTTTATTTTTGACTTTCGTTAACATTCTGGATAATAAGTGATTTAATAGTATGATAAGCTGTTATTTGTGGCACTCATTGCTTTGTTTAGGCTCCAAATGTTGAAATCGTGTCGCCTCTATCCCTTCATAAATAGATTATCTGCACATATCTTTTTGTTACCATGATAGCATTGACCAAACCTTGGACAAGATACTATCTTGTCTTTGTCTTGTATAGTATGTTACCTGAGCTGAAAATGATGGTTTTCTTAGGTAATTATTGTTACTTTACCTGTTTTGCAATTTCCATATGCAATCATTCACAATATGTTGTATTTTCCTGCAGGAAATATACCTAAATTTCCTAGAATGAATGTCTGGGATCCATATAAACGTCTTGGTGTGACTCATGATGCTTCAGAAGAAGAAATCTTAGATGCTCGAAATTTTCTTTTGAATCAATATGCTGGGCATGAGAGTAGTGTCGAGTCAATTGAAGCTGCTTACGAGAAGATACTTATGGCCAGTTTCTGGAAGCGTAAGAAGTCAAAAATAAATCTGAAAAGCAGGCTAAAAAATAAAGTAGAGGAATCACCACCATGGATAAAAAGATTGCTGGATTATGTTGAAATGCCTCCAACTGATGTGATCCTTAGAAGACTATTCCTCTTTGGTTTCATGGGGGCATGGAGTCTATTAAACTCGGCTGAGACGGGACCTGCATTTCAAGTATGCTCGTGATCTATATGTTTTTTATGTGATCCTAACATTTTAGGCAGTACCATACTCTGAGTCATCTAGTATGTTTTTGTGTATTTACAGTTTCATTTATAATCGGGATTTATGTTTTTTCATTTGCATTGATGTAATATTATTAATTAGTGGCAAATTATAACTTACTGATTGAATTTTTATTATTTCCCGTTCTTGTACAGGTTGCACTCTCACTTCTGTCATGTGTCTATTTCCTAAATGACAAAATGAAGAATGTTTTGAGAGCCTCATTAACTGGGTAAGTGATTTTAATTATGTAAAAACTTAATAGTTGTAAAGATGCTATTTTTTCTGATTAGCCATTTTCCTGTCTCCAGATTTGCAGCTCTTGTGATTGGTTGGATCGTTGGTTCCATTGTGGTTCCTATGATTCCATCAGTTCTTCTCCAGCCAACTTGGACACTTGAACTCTTAACGTCTTTGATATCCTATATTTTCTTATTTTTAGCTTGTACTTTTCTCAAGTAAATCTCTTCTACTTCCTTCTTCACAGTGTAGGATAAATTTGTTCTCCGCAGAATTTGATTGTAATTCAGCAACCGGACAGCCTTCCTGTGATGAGCAAAGTTTTGTGAACCATAATAATTTTTGTCACACCCCATAATAATTGCCTAAACTCTTTTTACAGCTGAAAGATCCATAGTCATGTCTCATGTTCACCCTTCCAAAAGTGAATTTCCAATATTGTTTATGATGCACTCTACTATATCAAACTATAGCAAAACACTGGTAGAAGTATTGTTATATGAATATGCAAACCTATTTATGGGGCTTCAAATGTTTGATCTTTTTGAAATGGTGGATATAGTTTTATTTTCTGTAGATCCAAGTGGTGAGCTTAAGCTACTGTCCTGGCATGCTGGCAAATCTATATTGCCTTCCTGAATCATCTTTTGTTTTCTCATGTATTCTGGTTTAAGTGCTGAAATTTTGTGTGTTATGTACAATGTTGGCATGTTCGACATTTGTTTGAAGTAATCAATTATGCTTTGGAAATTGCTGTTTCTATGTCAGGAACAATCTCTTGTCAGTATGTATTTTTACTATTATTTGTATTGCCTGAGAAGTAAAAACTGCCCTTTTGTGGTGTTGACAATGTTTACAATATAATTTATAGATCTCATAGAAGTTAGATATGTGTATGTGTATCAATAAGTGTGGTTGTAGAAGCATGATAGTGGGAATTTCTGTATTACGTTTTCTCTAAAATACTCTCTTATGTAAGACAACATTGTGCAAAAAGAGTATTTATCTTCTAAAAGGTCAAGCTGTCTTTTCATTTCATGATCTTCAAATGAAGTTGGAGGAGCCCCAAAAATATCTCCTCACAAGAGATTAAAGAGAGAAACATGTGTGGAGCATCAATATCTTTCATGGATGACAAGTTTTTTTTGCATTAAAGATAAGGAACAATGAACTAGAAGTAAGACTTGGCTACAGTCATGAATGACTTTGATGATGAGGAAGAGAACAACACTCCATATGTAGTCCCAAAACATCAGTGTAGAGAATTGACATATGTAGTCCCTTCAGTTTGTTCTCAATTACATATGTATCAAACCTGTGACTGTTGCCATTTATACTGAACCTAGTTGTGGTTTTGTGAAAGTTCATGAGATGCCAAAAGGTACAACCAATGTACATTTGTGCTTAGATGATTATGAAGTTAATAACAATAGCATTCTGTCATCACACACTTAGGGTTCACCAGAACTTGTTGATGCACTAGGACTGTACACCATAAGTTCCATGTTTCCTTTTCTCTGAGGAGGCATTGCATTAGCACCTTTGTTTCATTTTTTGGGGTGAACAAGGAAGAAAGAAAGGGCAGAGTAGATGAAGCAGCAGTATTGATTGCTCTCATGACAGCCTCATCTACCCCACAATGATCTCTAAAGAAGCCCCATGGAGTCCACATGGGATCCCACACTGTGCATTTAAGATCTCTACCTTCTGGGTTGATGACAAGACAGTGCTAAAAAGGTTGCTGGTGTGTGATGGACAGTTGTGAGGATAGGCTGTCTTGCTTAGTTAATAGCCATGAATCCAGCTCTCTCCATGGAGGAAGAATGTGGATCAAGCCTTAGAACATGGCTTCCAGTTGCTGCTGCATCTCCTCCTACTTGGCTTGATGGGCTGTCAAAAGATCTCCATTGATAGCCCATCTGATGCTGTGACCTCTCTGTACTTGTTGAGTTGTGATAGCTTCAATGTTCTTAAGACACACAGCTGAAGAACATAAAAGAGGTGTGTGTGAGTTCATTTCCTTCTCTCTGACATTTGCAGCTGCAGCTAACATTCCTTCGGCTGGATTCTTTCTGCAGGTTGTGTGCTCTACACCTGATCAGCATGAACATGGAGTCTTCTTCTGAGGTAACTGCAGAGGGAGAAGAGTGTGACAGCAGCCAGTCTGGTTGGACCATGTACCTTGCAACACCCATGCATGATGGTGGCCAAGTGGTTGCCGACGGTGAGCACGACGACGACGATTCCTTGGCTTCTGATGCTTCCTCAGGATCAGTTACTCATGGAAGTGAAGTCACAGATCAACTCGAGGTAGACGAGGAGGAGACTTGCAGCCAGTATCCTTCGCGTGAATGAAGCAGAGTGTTCATGGCAGAGAAGAGCGATACATGGTGATCCAAGTAAAGAGCAGATCTTTGCATCTTGCTGTGCTTTAGATCCATAAATTAGATGGAATGTGCTGCTTTGTAACTCACTTTAGGATGTTTGGATTGTGATCATGCTTGATAAGAATGCATGAATGAAGTCAAAGAAAGAAAAAGTATAGATTAGTTTGTGGTAATCACCCTGCAATTTAGTGGCTTATGTTAATTGCTCCTTAAATATATCAAACTTTAGCATCATACTTGTATATGTTCTCAGGATTTATCAGAGTTAGATAGAACTGTTACCTCATTGACTCATCATATGCCACCCATTGCGGCAATTGAAATGCCTCGTCATATCTCATTATCAATCAAATCAAATCATTTGTTGTCGGAGTTGGAAGCCATTTCGGAATTGGTTATCAATTTCAATATCAATTTATTTTAATTTTTTCGATCTCATGGTGTCGAAATCAAAATCATAAATGATATCATAGTGTATCAAATATGAGATATTAATATGATTTAGTCCAAATATCGAGATATCGATCACGTATCGTCTATCTAACCTTAAGCTTTCGATGTATCATGTACATATCACTCGGTCTTGTGTCGTTTATATGATATCTAAAACTAGAATATTTTAATCATATATCACTCCTCCTGTGATGTTGAGATATCAATCAGATGATTAATTTTATATTAAAAATATGTTTGAAGAAATCACAACGTAATATTTGTTTTGTAATCATAATTGATCATAAAATATTGAATATTGACATATCTGATTCATATATTATTTCAAGTCCCCATCGAAATAGTAGCGACCATCAGTTATCCATGTTTTGTGCATACATGACAATGACGTGCACTCCAGACACGAAGTGCCCAAGATTCGTTCTAGTTTACAAGCCGATCCAACGGCGGAGATGGACTACATAATAATATCTCGAATAAAACCATAGCCGGTCACGTCGGCCCCTAATCTCAAAGACACAGGTGTCATCTTCTCGTCTCCCGCTGCGGCGCGTGCTGTCCAGCACTGGAAGTGGGTTAGGATCGCTGTCCGACGTGGTTCAAACTACAGGAAAATCCAACAACGTTGTCCTTCAGTCTGCTTCTTCTCGTGCGCACACGGGCGCATACTGGTGTTCTTCCCTGTTCGCTGGTTAACCAGTTAGAGCTAATTCGCATTCGTCCTCACCTGTGCAATCTTTGACCTATAGACAAGCCACCGGCAGCTGATGTATCCGCATAGAAGTTTCTATGTGTTAAAGAGAGCTCCGCATTCAGGTATCTGTAGACCTTAGGGTTTCTTCGTCCCTTCGCCTTCTGTTTTCGCCCTCTATAAAGCTCTCCGCTTCCCTTACCCCTTCTGTACTTCCCAACTCGGCTCGGGGAGAAGTGCGGTGGCCTCGTCGAGGTGGTCGGCTTCCTTCATTTCTTCGTTATCGTTGCTCGGATCTCCTTGTTCGTTCGAGTACTTCGATTGATTTCTCAGTATGCTTGACGACTGTGTCTGTTCTAAGTGGGTTCCTTCTAGGACTTGGATCCGGTTCGCTCTTTTGCCGTGGGTTGATTGCCTGCGGTAATGGATCCGCGAATTTGTCGGGGCATTTTGATATCTTATGTTACTGTTGCTTCCTTTTTGGGAAATTCGGCCTGATTTAGCGATTTGAGAAAGTTAATTCCATTATCTGATTGTGTTTTTGTAGTTGTAACACGGTTTTATTTGGTTCCTTCGTCATGGCAGCACGTGCTTGGGAAATTTGTATGTCTTATTTTCGATTGATGATTAAAGCTTGTAATTTGACGTTTGACTTGTATGCTATGGCTCTAAAACTTTAACTTTGATATGTTAAATGGGTTTTGACATAAGTATGTCTCTAGGGTTTAAATTTTCTGGCCATAGCTACAATATTAAAGCACAGATTCAAGCACCGGCCCGACCCCATACACCGTGCTGATATTGAGTACTAGTGAAATACTATATTAAAACAAGATAGGTGCAAATGTTTAATTATCCTTTCCCTGGTTTCCTTATTACCTGAAAGTTCCCTTTTTATTTGTCGGATGTCAATAAATGCTTAATATCTTTATTCGGTGATGAGTTCAGGACTTGGTTTCACTGAAAATTTATGGAAATTAATTATTTTTAGAAGATAGTGGTCAGTCATTAAGGTTTGAAGTGAACTAATTTAAAACATGGTGAGTAACTTAGGTTTAGGATAAGAATATGCTTCATTTATATCGTGCGCACTGTAATAATATGTATTTACAGATTGAGCTTTTTATATGTTGCTTCTGCTGTAATGCAATAAAATGGAACTTGTATAGAGCCTGAATGGTTGATTGTTAGATGTTATCTTTCTGAGCCATTATTTGCAATATCAAAAACAATGTTGCTCTATGTTTGTTGCTTAGATTATTATAGTTGGTACAATCAGTGTCATGAATATGGGTCTGTTAACCGAAAATTTAAATCATGAGTCAAAATATAGCATATTTTTCTCATTTAATGCATTCATGGAATTTTTTTCATTGAACTTCACCCTATAACACTCCAATAGTCCCACCTCAGTGTGTGAGGTTGTGTTCAATTTGGTCTAACATTTGATATATCTCTCACTGATAAGTTGATCTTAGGCATATTGGGTTGTATGGTTGAGTTCCCTTGACTGGAGTTTGTAGGCTTTGGGTTACTTGGGTCATGTAGAATGGTGCATACCAAGTATTGCACCTTATACATACGGAGATGGTGTACTCAGGTTACGCTTACATTGAAATCCTATTTTAAGAATTGTGGCTCACAAGCACATGAAGCCTTTGAACAAGGGTGATTCTGGCATGGTTCAGCCTTGTGCTACACTAGATATTGGGCTAGTAACTTATCCCATGATTTTTTATTCAACAACAAATTTATTGAAGGTACCGGGACAATGTATAATAATACATAGTAGATAGTGGTTAGCAGATATAGTAACCATGAAAGAGATGAAGAGTGCTGCCAGCTAATATGTGGAGACCAAAATCTGGAAAATTGACTATCACAAGCAGCAATATCTATTACTATTAGGCTATGCCACCTTCCTTGATGCATGAAGCTGGTTAAATGTTAGATTTTTGTGGATGTAGGTAGCAAGCTTGATAATTGTATATTGTTTTTCCATTGAATCATAAACAATATTTACCTAAGCTGTTCACAATCCCTTCCAACCAAATTTGTCATTGTTGTTCCTAATTTGACTCTTTGTTTTTATTCATTGGCTAGTTGACATTTCTAGATAAAGTTGTACCTTAACTGACTCCATAATCTTATAATTATGTGAAATTCAGTGCTATGATTTTCAGTCATCCACTCTTATGGGTTGATAGCACATGCAACAGCAGAACATTATTCCTTTTAGCAGTTTTAAACTATGTAAACCATGCTTGTAAGTATATATATTTTTGATCTCCTTAAATCCACATTTGATACAGATACTTTGCCATAGGCTTTCTCGGACAGAAGTTTATTCTCCCACCAGTTATATTTGGATTAGGTTATTTTTTGAGGTTTTCTTAAAATGAACAAACAGTTGTTGCTTATCATACTGGTGGTCAAAGTGGTTTTGTTTCATGTGATGCAGGACCTCTTAATTTTAAACTGAAGTTGTCAGCACTCAGCATTGTTTTGGACCTCTTGTAGCTGTCAAAGTGGAGGGCGTTAAGTGCAGGGTGTTTTTTATGTCTGAACGCGATTCTTTCTACTTGGGATCGATTGGGTTACTTGGAGAATATTGCCCTACATCCAGAAAAAAGTACATATGCTCTTTGGAAAGAGCCAGTTGTCTGCATCTTGAGCCTTTTCGAGAGACTACACTTATAGGAAGTTGCAGCTGGGAGCAACTTTTCTTTATAGTGACAGATTATTGGGGCATTGAACAAAAAAGATTCTTAGTGCCTGCTTCTATTGTCTGATATTACTGTTAAAGAGTGCCACTTTATCATATTTCCTTGGGCAAACATGGCTTTGCAGAATATTGGCGCTTCAAACAGCGATGATGCTTTCTATCGGTATAAGATGCCAAAGATGATAACCAAAATAGAAGGTCGTGGGAATGGCATCAAGACAAACGTAGTGAACATGGTGGACATTGCAAAGGCCTTGCACAGACCAGCCACCTACACGACAAAGTACTTTGGCTGTGAGCTTGGTGCCCAATCCAAGTTTGATGAGAAAACTTGCACTTCACTTGTTAATGGAGCTCACGACACTGCCAAATTAGCAGGGCTTCTAGAGAACTTCATCAAGAAGTATGTGCAGTGCTATGGATGTGGTAATCCTGAGACTGAAATAATAATCACAAAAACCCAGATGATCACCCTCAAATGTGCTGCTTGTGGTTTTGTGTCTGATGTAGACATGAGGGACAAGCTCACTACTTTTATCCTGAAGAACCCACCAGAACAGAAAAAGGCATCAAAAGACAAGAAGGGAATGAGACGAGCAGAGAAGGAAAGACTCAAGGAAGGGGAAGCTGCTGATGAGGAACTGAAGAAGCTGAAGAAAGAGACAAAGAAGAAGGGTACTGTATCATCTAAAGATGGAGCAAGTTCTAAACGTGTTGCTTCTAAGAAGAAGCCAACAGGCTCAGATGAGGAACGCTCCTCCCCACCTGATAGTCAGGCTGATGACAATGAGGTAGCTGATGATAATGATGATGATGGTGTGCAGTGGCAGACTGACACATCTGCTGAAGCAGCTCGCCAGCGCATACAGGAACAACTGAATGCTGTTACTGCTGAAATGGTGATGCTTTCCACTGGTAATGTGCCTGACGAGGAAGAGAAGAAAGTAAATCAAGAGAAGAAAGAGGAAGCTCCAAAAATTGGACCTGAAGTAGTGGAGAAGCCTAGCACTCATAACCAGTTAATTATTGAAATCAAAGCTATGCTGAAGAAGGGGTCCAAACCTAGCGAGCTTAGCTCGTCTCTGCCTGGGTCCCATCAAGAGATAATGAATGCACTATTCGAAGCCCTCTTTGAAGGTGAAGGTGCAGGTAAAGGGTTCGCAAAAGAGGTTGACAAGAAGAAAAAGTACCTTGCAGCTGCAGTGCAGGATGAGGAATCTCAGATGTGTCTGCTGCGGGCTATGGAAGCATTCTGTGGGAAGTTTGGTGGGGATGCAGTGAAGGAAGTTGCTCTGGCGGCTAAATCTCTTTACGATGGAGATGTATTGGAGGAAGAGTGCATAATGAAGTGGTACAAAGAAGGTCTGACCGGTGCCAGTAAGAGCTCCGCAGTTTGGAAGAATATTAAGCCTTTCATAGAATGGCTTCAGAATGCCGAGTCAGAGTCAGAGGACGAGTGATAAAGTGTCCTCTTAGTATTCATATCATCTCAAGGATGATACTGATGTTGGGCTTATTACCTTTGAAAGCAGTATCTAGTTGTGTGATGGCTATTTCATGAATTTGGAGTCTTAAACTTGGTAATGCTTAGTTATTACTGTGTTTCTGGTGTGCAGACTTGGTTCGTGTCGAAATAAAGAACTTGTGTTTTCGTTGTTCCAGTCAGCTAAATTGTGTTGCTCAGATTCTGGGAGGACATCATGTGCAAGCTACTGGCTGTTCATGTTGCGCAGTTTCATCATCCTGTGGTGAGATTTTGGTGTCTCTCCTTGAACTTTATAGGCTGCGCCTCTCCTTTCTAGCTGAAGATGTCTTGCTGGATTCTAATCCAAATGTGTTGTCTCTTACAGGTTTGCTGATCATCCAAGTGCAGATAGAACAGGTTTCAAGGGGACTCCTGTGTACAGTGATAATAGCTTGAAATGAGTCTTCAATCCGACAGGAGCAGCTCTCCACAATCTCATATAGTTCGATAAGGATTTGCACATAAAAAAAATTTGTTTGGTGACAAACAAATATCAAGTTAACTTTCATCGTCATTCTAATCAAATATAATAAGAGTTAATATTGTTATAAATTACTAACAATTGTGTCATAAATGATTTAGGATTTGTTTGTTGTATGTTTTTGGTTTTTTTGTTTTTTGGGTCCAAACAGAAAGAGCTAACTATTATGGGAGAAATAAATTTAAGTTATTTGATTTTAAATCATTTAAAATATGGCAATCGGAGCCCATTTAATAGCTCACTTAGAGGTTTCAGTAGACGTAGTACCAAAGCAATCTTTTCTTCCTCCGTTCCTTTTGCCGCTCCCTCCCTTCGTTTCCTCCTCGTGACACCGAGAGAGACGAGAGAAGCTTTCTTTTCTTCCTCATTCCACTCCCTCCCTCCATTTCCTCATCACAACAACGAGAGAGAAGAGAGATGTCTTCTAGAATTCCCCTCTTGAAACTATCTCAACGTTGCAGGCAATCCCTTTGCTCCATGCTCGGTCTCCAACCGCCCTTGTCCGCGCTCCTCCGCCGCTCTCCTCCTCCTCCCCCTCTCCTCTTCCCCTCCACCTCCGATCGCCTTTGTTGCTCCCCGTTCCGATCCCTCGCCTCGACCGCCGACGGAGTGAAGGATGCACGGCGGTCCGAGAGAATCGGAAACGATGGAAATCCCCCGAATTCTCCTCCTCCGCCGCCTTCCGACTCAGGTCTGGACTACCCGACGGGGGAGTTTGAGATGGAGGAGTTCGGTTGGTGGAGGAGATTGGTCGTCAAACTCAGGTTGTTCTTTGCTTTGCCTTGGGTGCGCGTGGAGAAGGGGAGCGTGCTCAAGATGCAGCTCCGCGGCAAGGTCCGATTCTTATGTTCTTGTCACAGCCCTGTAACTCCTAAATATTTTACAATATTAGAAACAAAGATCGGATTAGATGAAGCAATTAGGGTTGAGAGCAACAATATTAGTACAGAGTACTACATACCTACTGCCGGTCAAGTAGCCATGAAGGATCATCGAGGATGGGAGTCACTCAAACTGGCGTAATGGAAGATCAATGGACCAAACCAATCATGACATACCGTGATAGTATATGTGTCCCTATATTTTGATCACAACGATGGCCTTCATCTAGTGGAGCCGCATCTAGCAGTGATTAGGGAGCTGCTGAATTAGGCAGCTATTGAGAAAGCATGAACTGTGTCATTGGTGGAAAGACAATCAAGCTTGTTAGGTCTGACGAATTACATCACCATGCCCTTCTTTGTGTGATTTAAAATGTAATATGCTGAATTAATGAAGAGAGGTTATCAATAGTTGATCTAGTTAGTCCAGTATATGCCATTGTCGTCTGAGGAGGGTAATTGTGAACTGCTCTGAGTTTACTATTATAATGTAACATTGTGCAATCATGTGAATGATTGAGTCACTATATGAATAAGTAAGATGTATCATATGGCATACACAAGTATCAATGATGTATCTTGTAGTATTAGAGCATGATGACTAACTTCCAGGTCATGCCTAATGTTTGACGAAGCTCTTTTAACTGTTTAACACTAAAGTTGGTTTCTTCAGTTAAAGAGCCTATTGTTACAAATATCTGATAACTATTATTGGTAATTAGGACTTGTGTGTCCTTGAGGCCATGGCAGGCAGATCAAGGCAATTAGTATAATAAGTGGGCTATTGACTGCTTCAGTTCATTATAATCTTAAATGCATTTTAAGTGGATCTTCAATCGCTTCAATCCATTGGGATCTTGTATTTACCTTGATGCAGATATCTGATCAGTTGACAACACGCTTCTCTTCAGGGCTGTCTCTACCACAAATATGTGAAAATTTTATGAAAGCGGCATATGATCCTCGAATATCTGGTATTTATCTTCATATAGAACCACTTAATTGTGGATGGGGCAAACTTGATGAAATACGGAGGCATATAATGAATTTTAAGAAGTCAGGTAAAGATACATAATGCATTTATGAATCTTTTATCAAAACTTGATCTTCACTTAAAGTGTCGAATGTCGACGTTGATATGCTGTGCTTTTAATCTTTATATATATATATATATATAAATGAACTTCTTTAATATAGAGCACCAAGGGGTACACAAGTTTAGATTGAGTATATTAATTTGGTTTACATTATTTTGACATATATTTAGGAATAATAATCATGAATTGAATGTAGAGATGGACTTTAAGTGCTTCTAAGTTAAGGTTATTGACCTAATTATGTCTGCATAAAAGATGTTATTTTCAGCAAGAGAAGCATGGAATGGAGCGTCATGCTTTTGGAGAATAAAATATATTTGTATTAATTGTCTTTTGTGTGTGTGGACATGCATAGAATGCATATAATAAGTGATGCAGCACCTTAATTTATTTTGGTGATCTACTACTAGTGATATTTATATTTATGCCTTGATAGAGAAAAGCGATAGAATCATGCACTACACTAGTATGTTTATTTAAAATTTAATTACTCAAATCAGTGGTGGGCCATTTACAATCTTCAAATTCCTTAAAATCCAAAAATCATGATTAAACTTATCTGAGTCAACTTGAAGATGAAACTTCTTTTTCCTTTTTTTTTTTCATAATTTACAAATGTTGAATGTGATGTTTATATATATTTCATAATCTGTGGATCATGATTGAGTGCAGGATTTTAAAATATATGATGCATTTAGAATATCAAAGACCAATCAGTAGTCAGATTCTTGATAAAAACTCACATTTTATGCTTGTGTAGATTGGCAACAAAGTGGATTGATGAAACATTTGGGTTCTGTATATCTTTGTTAATCTGATCAATTACATGAGTATGTATAGTTGGAGCTTGTTTTTTGTTTACTCCAAATCCTGCAATCAAGTCATTTTTCCCATTAACGTGGATTTGCATCCTATATAGGTAAGTTCATCATCAGTTATTTGCCTGAGTGTCGAGAGAAGGAGTACTACCTTGCATGTGCTTGTGGAGAGTTTTATGTTCCTCCAAGTGCTTATGTTGCATTGTATGGTTTGACAGTTCAATCAGCATTTCTTGGCGGTATGCATTCTACCAATATTGTGCATGGTTATCTTCTTTTATGGTTTCCATACTTTTTGTAATGTGTTAAATATGTATTTTTGTTTTCTAGTTTAGAAAGGCTTGCTCAGGGTGCTAGGTAACAACCTATTTTGCTTTTCTTCTTGGTCCAATTATCAGCAGGTATTGCGTACTCCAGGATACACAGAAATAATGACTTTTTGCAACCTGCCTATCACATTGGAGCAGTTAATGATTTTGATTTGAATGTTGCCTTCTTAAAATTGTCATGATGGCCTTCAAAATGGTCCATTATAAAATTCTCATGCGTTGTCACATCCTCATCATCAATGATTTGATTTTTTGAAGTATTTCTGAAAATGACATAAATGAGCTGTTCACTTAACATCTGATGTATATAATGCAACTGCATTAAACTTATTCTTTCTGAAGGAGGAAGAACTAGTCATAATACAAAAGAACTCCATTTTGTTACTGTTTCCTGTGTTTTTCTTGGCTATGGTCGCCTGTGCAACATGTTTCTTCTCTGCTATGCATCACAGTCATGTTTGAATTTTTGTTACTAATGATAATATTTACATGATTCCTCTTAGATTGTTCTTGAGTCCTTGTATGAATCAGTTTAGATGTGTTTAGCATTCTGTTAGTGTAGTAGCTGGGAGTGTTAGCTCATATATTGCTGAACACGGCTTGTCTTTCTATTTAATGAAGTCCTAAGTTATAGCAACCCTAGATTAGATTTAGCTATGCTTTAATATTACTTGCATCTCATTTTTGCAGGTGTTCTTGAGAAAGCAGGGGTTCATCCAGAAGTTCACAGGATTGGTAAATACAAAAGTTTTGGGGACCAGCTTGCATGTAAAGGCATGTCTAATGAAGTTCGTGAAATGCTGAGTTCTTTGCTTGATAATATTTATGAAAATTGGCTTGAAACAGTATCTTCAAGTCAAGGTATTCTTACACATCTTATTTAGTGATTGAATGTTCTGCTGTCTACTTCAAAATTAATATTCTGGAATTCTAATATTTTCTTTTCCAGGAAAGAGAAGGGAAGAAATTGAGGACTTTCTTAACTCAGGAATTTTCCAAGTTGAAAAGCTTAAAGAAGAAGGTTGGATAACGAATATAATGTATGATGATGAGGTGCAAGTTTCTGACTGGACCATTAAATGACATATGAGGCGCATGAAATAATATTTACAAAAAAACGTTTTTGCTGTTATTGAAAAAAATTGACGTAGAGCTTGAAAATTGGTCTTTGCGTTAGAATTCGGTTTACAAAACAATGGAGTTATCAATCATGTAAGGATGCAAGATCATGTTGTTGGACACCTGAACGTAACCATCAGGCAAATCATGAGGTTGAAAATAATATGATTTTGGGAATTTGAACTGTAAGCTTGCATGAAGTAGTTGATTATGGTAATAGCACTCTGTGGCAGCTGTAGTATGTACAAGGAATCCTTGTTCAAACCAAGATATCAATATCAGGTGGGGAAAAAGGAAGTAAAACTTCAAAAACTATTAAGTAGGTTTGATTGATTATGGAGAAATAATTAGGCTGAGCTATGGTGCTCCTAGGATGGCTGGGCATCATTGGATCTTATAGTCATTGGATATTATAGCCTATGGCATAAGAATTCATTGTGACAAGCTTTTTACTTGGGTATGCAGAAAGCAAACTTAATGTTTCTGCTCGAGTGAAATGATGAAATGCATGATAAATGCTAAGCATTTAATTCAGTGTGAATGAAAAGACAAGGTATAGAAGAGAGAGTGGATTCTAGGCCATCTTGATCTGGTTGAAAGTACAGGAATAATCATGGTTTGACATTTAACCTATACACAAAAGCTTTAGTTGAATCCAACCGGTTGTAAGACCTATTCCAATTTAAACTATACAGAATAATCTTTGTGTCTGCTGTTATTTTCTCTATATTTTGATATACAACAATAAAAAGTTAGTTTCATACCAGCAACATAATAGACCTTTTAAGTTATAATAGTTTAGTTTTTCCTTTCATTTATTTAAATATAAGAATGTAACTTAATTAGAGTCTTATATGATTTCTGGTGCTATAAGGCAGGTCATGTCAATGCTGAAGGAGAGGTTGGGCCAAAAGAATAAGAAAAAGCTTCTTATGGTTGATTACAGGTAATACAATCTCAAAATTATCATAAATGTATTGACTGGTTGGAATTGCAACAATTCAGTGTTACGTGGAAATCACTTTTGAAGGTTTGAAAGCGCACCATCATGAACTCATGATACTATTTGTGCATATACTTTCTTAAATAAATTATTTTTTCTCTTGATGTATTGAGTTGGAAGTGTTGAGTAATTAGCCTTAACTACTTAAAATGAATGAAACCATGGTTTTAAATCTCAAAACTGAACCCATACGATCCTTGATTGGACTAGCATGGCAGCGGTACATAGTGGCATACCGACACATGGTATGTTGGCATACTGGTCGGCGCCAATAGGGGGGGAAGTTAGAGATAGAGAGTGGGGTAAAGTTAAAAAGACAACTGTTACCACCAAAACCAAATAAATATTATATTTATTTGAACTGAACCGAGCAAATTACCCGATCGGGGTGCTGGTTCTTGGTTGGACTGATATATACCAATTCGGATATCTCATGTCCCTCTGTTACCATCTTTTATGTCAAAGCATATCTTATTCTCAAATTTCAATCTTGACCTTGAGAAGTGATTGATTCACATTTCACTGCTGCAGTTTTGTTTGGTTCACTGTTCTCCCATTGAACCAAACTGGTCACCTTTCAGGGGCAAAATTGAGACTTGTAAAAGAAGGGGAAACTTGGTGTAAAAAATGAAAACAGGAACGCTCAGCAGAAAAAGTGAAAAGTAGAGGTTTTGTTAGATAAATTGCCCGTCCATTAATGAACAAGCAAGACATTTCAGATATGGAAGATATATAAACATTGTGATTTTAGGTGTCTTCAAGCATGGATTTAAGCACCATAATCCATAGTGGAAACTTGTTTGATCAATCTGTACCAATCAGTACAATATGATGTACCTCTATTATGCTGCTAAAGTTATCAAAAACTTTTTGTTTAAATAGAAGGTGTTTTCATTACATTAAAGAGCGTATATAACACTCCCACGTGGACTCGAACATGAGACCTTTTATTCATGCAACAAATGCACTAACCAATTCGCATGTCTCAGTAAAGACTTATTTAAAACGTCAATATTTATTGGTATTGGTGGACCATCATTGGCAAGGACAACTGGTATATAACAATAGCTGGTATACTGCAGTACTTTATTTCATGGTCTTGAGGAAATTAACGAGCAAAATATGCAAATGATATTTACTTGATCTTTATAGCCATTTTATTGGGCCTGTTTCTTCTACGTTGCATCATTTTAAGCTTTAGTCATCATTGTTTTTTTATTAGTTTTTGAAAGCTTTAGTCACCATTTTATTGGACCCGTTTAGGTGATTTGGTCGGACCAGTATACTGGTCAATATCAAGGTACCACATGGTACACCAATACATATTGGCATTTCAGAGAGGGAGAGAAAGAAGAAGAGGAAGGACGGATGGATGAATAGGAAGAAGAGAGGAAGTGTTGCAGTAGGAAGAAGAAGCGGTGGAAGAGAAGGAAGAAAAGTATTGGGAGTGTACCTGGGAAGAAGAAGGAACGCATTGGCAGCAGTGACGTCACAAAGCAATGATGGCAGCAGCGTCGCAATAAGAGGGCTCTTGTTCATGAGCCCTAGTTTTTGTTTTAGGTTTTTTTTTCTTTTTTTAATGCTAAGTTGGATGGGCCCCATTGCTATTTTAGTTATTTTTATTTTTCCTAAGTTGGATTGGGTGGCAAATAGGGTGGTCCGTATATCGATCTATGCCCAGACCAGTACGTACAGCTCGTTTCATATTATTTCGGGTGATGAGGCATTCCTTGCTTCAAACTCTTTGTTTTCCTTTTCTTATTAACTAATATGATGTGAGGTTTCCTTTGAATTTGTTACTATAAAGTATACTTTTACTTTGACGAGTTTCTTGGATACTGCCTTGCTTTTTTTTGGCTCTGAAAAATAGGCTGTTGCTATAGAGCATTAAAGTCCTCATTTGCTATTTATAATTCTTATTGAATTCAGAGCTCATAGCTAATCTTCTGCTGTATGATAGTGAGCAAAGCACCTGTACTCAAAAGTATCCTATTGTTAATTATGCAAATAATTGTTTGGGAATAACAGTTGTAACCTTTTCCAACATAGCTGGTCACAATGAAAACTGGTCTCGCCGTTTGTGTCATTCAAAAATTTGAACTTGCAAACTTGTAATTCCATTCTTGATCTTAACACAATTGTCTTGGTGTTGAACTTCTTCAAGTGCAATTTGCAACAGTCGTTCTTCTGCATCATGAACTTTGGGTTTGATATTCATTTTCATAAGGAACAATGATAAGCAGTGCATTGAATTCTATGAATGCTATTGTTTAGTCTATAATTAGAATTTGAAAATACTGTGAGATGCATTAGCTTACAAGGAAAAAACCGATTTGGAAGCCCTAAAAGTTCATAGGTTATAAACCTGTCTCATATCACAATTAGAACATTAATCATGAAAACTAAGATTATGAACAAGCTAGAAGTTGTTGATTCTACGTTGCTAATTCTGAATCATCACAACTAGCAAAAAGTACCCTTAGAGATAGTACAAGTGATTAGTTAGTTAATATATTGCTATTATTTAATTTGTCACAGACCTAGCAAATTCAAATTCATATGTTACTTAAAAGTTCCAGTTCTTTTTTGTGCTTCAGTTTTACAGTGAAAGTAGGCATTTTTCTTTTTGTGTTTACTAATGTTGCTTATATTAGAGCAAATTAACTAATATGTTTGTTGTGGCTGTACTACATGAAATATTAGATAAGAGTAATACAGATTCCCACTAGAACATTTTGCATTAGTTTGTTGCTCTTACTAAAGTTTCGTGCTTTGCTTCAACAGTAAATACTCAAGAGTAAGAAAATCAACTCTTGGTTTAGATGGTGGTAGAGAGCAAATTGCCATAATTAGAGCCTCTGGAAACATCACCCGTACTCGAGGACCATTAAGTGTTGCTGGTTCTGGCATCATGGCCGAACAGCTGATAGAGAAGATCCGCAGTATCAGAGGTTGGTTTCCTAGCTGAGTGTTCTTTTGTCTAAAACTGTAACCATTCTGTGTGATAATTATTGAGATGCTGTTAGAAATTTTGTTTTGAAACATTAATATGTTTATTGATCTAATGGATATAGAAAGCAAGGGGATAATCATACTGATCCAGTTGTGTAGCTTCTTTTTGCACTGAATCTTATTAGCTTATGAAGATATTCATCATTCTATTTATGCTGATTTCTTATAGATGCCCATACTAGTAGTAGTACACTTGTTTTCACTTTTTCCTCATTTTCAGTTGATATACATTGCTAAAAGATATTTATGCCCAGTATAGACTTAAAAAGTTGAGCTGAATGAGCCTACCAACCAAACATCCCTTGCAAGTTGTGTAGATTTTTGTCTGTAAATGAGTTTCACCAATTAAAAACATTCGATCAAGTTTGTCTTTAGTCAGTGCTCATTAGCTTCAGTGCTTGAGTTTGGCATCCATCATTATTATGTTTCTTGTACCATGTATTCATGTGACACTTTTCTTTTATTTAGTTGTTTGTTCTGCATTGATGAAACTGATCATTGATGTTGTTGGCTTTAAAGAGTAAATCCTAGTTTCTTTCTTTGGAATTTGTTAATCATATATTAAAGATTTTGCCTGGAAAATTTTGTATTGAACTTTAAGTGAAAGCAATTTCTTCTTACAGACTCAGATAGGTATAAAGCTGTTATCTTGAGAATTGACAGTCCTGGTGGTGATGCTCTCGCCTCTGATCTGTAAGTGCTTATAGCTTAAACTTCATTTTAGTAATTATGCGTGGCTCTCTCACTAACAAGAAAATTCTTCTTACCTTATTATGTTTGTCAGAACCACAAAAATTGAAAGACAATAGTCCTGCAAACAATAAAAATTCATTATTAGCCTGTTTGGTTCAGGTGTAAGGCTGAAATAAACCATCTAAAAACCCTTATGCCAACCAAAGAATTCAAGAATTAATTGAATAAATAAGGATTAACAGTTCCAAGCAGTCCTTATTATGAGAAAGATTGTTTGTAATTCCATTTTTTTTGTTCAAAAGTGATATTAACTGACAATTTTCTCATATCCCTGAGATATATATTTTTCCCCTTTTTCTTTTCTTATTCTCCACCATAAACTGACGTTCCCTTTTGCCACAAACACACGTTTGTCTTGCTACAATGTATTGATCTCTATCTCTTAACCATCATTAATTCCATGATGTCCTGATTGTACCTTCTCATATGTTTTGTTTCTAAAATGCTTTTGCTTATTGCAAATTTAATGATTTTTATATATGGATATTTATATTTAATGTGTTTAGGTGTAAATTCTATGATGGAGTCTTTCATGTACTTTTATTGGACTCATGTAACATACTTACTCGTGATTACTATAGATAAATGCTATGAAAGCCTTATTTGTGGCATCTTTGGGCTAGGATCCAGGGCAATTATGATATTTTCCTAGTTTATGCTTCAAGTAATCTTTATAACTCTTTATTTCGTTATTTGTGATAAAGTAATTTTCTCGGTTATTAATCAGACTTATTATTCTATCCCACTTTTCCTCGTGGCTCACCTTAAAGGGACTTACATAACTGCTTCATATATCCAAATGTAGCCTTGACCTCGGCTCAATGGTTTGGCAGTTTCGAAATGAACCAAAATCGAGGCCATACTGTTCGGTTTCGGTTCCTAGAAATTGAAACTGGAATTGACTAAAAATGGAAAAAAAAAAAAAAGTAGAACAACAATAAGTTTCATGGTGTAGTGGTTAGTACTTTAAGTTTAAATTTAAAGTATAATGATTTGAGTTTAAATTTTGGTGGAACAATTTTTTTTTCTTTTTCCATCAATCGGCAGTTCCATTTCTAGAATCGGAACTGACACTTCCAGAACCGGAACCACTGCCTGGAACCAGTTTGAATCCGGTTCCAAATTTGGTAGGACCAGAATCGGCAGTTTCGGAATCATGCTCAGGGCTATCCAAATAACCTTTCCCTAGGGTTTCCACTTAAAGAAATAGAAGTAATAGAAGAAAATTTTTCAATAGATTTTATTACATCTAGAAAGTAGAAACCATATCTTACTTTTTCTTCAATGAATTAATTTGTTGCCTGCTAATGTCACATGATGATAGATAATATTCTTGCATTAGTGTGATGCACAAAAGTAGGTAGAAAGATTTTTTTAATCAAACAATAGATGCATAATGAATTATCAGCCTTATTTGAAAATAAAACATGTTTTTTTAATTGGATGGCTTATTTTTAAACAACGGTGGCCTGGAGGAAGCAGCAAGGCTTGGACGAAAAAATGATGCTTAGATCAAGTTGAGGTCAGATGCACCTGAAAGGGATCATAGATGGAAAATGAGTAACCTATAAGCTCCTGCGGATACCAGAGAAAGATGGTAAGGAATACATTTCATTGTTTCTGTTGACCGAAATAACAAAGACCATTTAAATCTTAATAAAATGCTCTAGTGAGTGGTTCAACATTCTTCACTACCCTATTGCCCAAGCTATAATACACATGCAACAAATTTAGGCAGTGGAAGTAGTTTCATCTGGATGAATACATAAGATATATATTCATGGTATGCAATGTGGTGTAATGGTAGGCCAATTTGATTCGTTGATTGTCTCTAATAAATCATCATATGTCTGGTATTAAGTTTTGCCAGATGTCGTGTGGTGTTCTTTCTGTCAACAATGATGATTTCGTTCATACAGAATTTGGAGGGAGATCAAGCTTCTTGCTGCCTCTAAACCTGTGATTGCATCAATGTCTGATGTTGCAGCAAGTGGAGGATACTACTTGGCTATGGCAGCAGGAACTATCCTAGCTGAGAAGCTCACTTTAACTGGTTCAATTGGTGTTGTCAGAGGTGATTATAGTGGTTTACTCCTTTTTATATTTGCGAGGAAATTACTGCAATAGCATAATGGATCTTTTGAATAGTACTGCAACAATGCAAGTCCTCACTCCTCACATCAAGGCTTCAAGTTATTGTGATTCCATGTTCTTATAATATCTAATTTAGTCTGGTCAATTTAACTCATGTAGATCACAGACTAATGCTGGTCCTCATAAACTCTCTTTTAAGCCTTTGTCATCCCTGTCAAGATTCTAACATATAATCAGAGTCAACCCTGTGACAGACCTGTTTGTGTTATCTAATTACCATGATCAGCTTATATTTAGCCCACAAAACAGAAAACAAATCACGAGCCTTGTGGTCAACCTGTGGTTGCCTCCAATGATCTCATAATATAGTATCCTGTAGTTTGATACTGAGATGGACTGGGTCTGCTTTGGTGGTTTTTGCTACTGCCAACATGGGTGAAAATGCTCAAACCACAAATAGGTAACTCAACTTGCATATATGAGCCAATTCCTTTTTCTTTACTAATTTAAGACTATTAGTTCATTGCAAATATTGTTCACCTTCTAGTTGTATTATATTACAATGAGATACCATTTCTTATGCTATGAATAGAATTATTATTCATTTGATCTCATTCATTTGCCTTTTAATGCTTTAAGTTATGTTTCACAGAGAAATGCTTTATACATCCACATTGTCAAGAACAGTCAAATGCTTTATGCTATTTGATGTGCTCAAATAGCCCTTACAGCCCCTCCCATTAATTTTTGATTTTATATCTTATGACATCGTGGGTGGTGCTTGAGTGGATGATAAAAAAAATCGGTATGGGAAGCAATAGCACATCTTTTTGCAATATGAATCATGGCAGACTCTCTTTCTAGAGATTAATATTCAATCACTATATTTGCCTCAAAATAAAAAGAATACATACAATTAGTGAGTTTTAAGGATCTGGCGATATAATTACTTAGAATTTCTCTTTTATTCAACTAAGGTTTGGAATTTCTCTTTTATTCATTAGTTATGATAGTGGATAGTCAACTAAGGTCATAAATGAAACATTATAGGCTAACATACATGAATTCTGTGGTTAGCTTCATCATTTCTTCTATGCTAGACCAGACACATTAAGCAGTACATATAAAAAAAAAAAGTTGTTAAAATTACTCCTATAAATTGTACCAACCTTTTTTCAATAGTACTGCCCAGTGGCTGTTAGATCCAAGGTCACTCCTTTTTGTTCTTGATAATGTGCCAAAAGAAATTGGATGTTGTCCACTTTTGTAAGTACATAGTTAAATGCAGATAACTGGAACTTTTTGTTCTTGTGCATATTACACAATCAACTATTTGTGTTCAAGCCTCATATTTGAATTAGATTCTATGCTACTACCAAAAAATGAGCTTTCAGAAAATTATTGGGTTCTGATCCCTAGTACTTGCAGGAAGGTTCAGCTTAAACAAGTTATACGGGACGATTGATCTCAACAAGGAGATTCTGTCACGGGGTCAATATGCTGAGCTTAATGTTGCTGAACAGCGTCCTCTTAGGTGAGTATCTGTTGTTTTTCAAAAGTTTGTATAGCTTGTAACTGATGAGAAATTATCTAAAGAAACATTTTACTAGATTGTCCAGCATCTTTTACTGGTCTTATGGTTGGTTTAAGAAATTATCTAATGAAACCTTTATTCATCAGATAGGATTCAGAATGTGGGTCTTATGGTTGGTTTAAGAAATGTTTCGAATATAATATCTCTTAATAAGTAGTTGACTGGTTTTCCCCTTCTTCTGAAAGTTCTAATAGGCATTACTGTTCTGCATCCAGCTAAAATCTAACGAGGGTGTTCTTGTTGGTACAGACCACATGAATCGGAACTGTTTGCCAAGTCTACACAGTATGCTTACACACAGTTTCGAGACAAAGCTGCTTTGTCACGATCGATGACTGTAAGGTTTTGCACATCCACCATTAAGAAAGACAGCATGTATCTCATCGCATCATTACCTTCCAGGTAGATCAGATGGAGGAGGTTGCTCAAGGGAGGGTATGGACCGGCAAAGAGGCAGCTTCTAAAGGATTGGTTGATGCTATCGGTGGATTCTCGCGAGCAGTCACCATTGCAAAATACAAAGCTAAGATACCACATGATAAACAGGTTAGGTTTCTTCAGCTTTTTTTTCGATCAAATGCCATGCCTATATCTAAAACAAGACCAGCTTTATTAAGTCACTGAGAATATGATCCCCTGCTATTTTGCATGGCTATATGTATATTGGTTTATTATCAAGTTGTTCCCTTGTGACCTGAGTGTCTAAAGTTCAGGAAAACAGCCTCTATATATTAAGGTCTGTTTTGCTCGCAATTTTGTTTGTTAATGTTAGGATTCCGTGTCCATTTATTGCCATAACCCTGCATACTTTGCTTCTGTACATATATATGCATTATAATATGTTCTTTTCCAAGGGAATATGATCTTATTTGGTGATATATTTCGATATACGAGGAGTGAATTTGTAATTTGGAACTTGCAGGAAACTGTATTGAGAATCCTTTCGTTCATTATCTCAAATGATCATTTTAATACACTGCAAATGGAAGCTTTGTTTAAGTACTGATCATTGGATTTGTTCTTCGTTCATTATCTCAAATGATCATTTTAATACACTGCAAATGGAAGCTTTGTTTAACTACTGATCATTGGATTTGTTCTTCGACTCTTCTTTATTAATGTTCTAGGTCAAGTTAGTTGAGGTGTCAAGACCTTCACCAACTTTACCAGAAAGATTAGGTGGTATTGGGAATTCTCTGTTTGGGCTGGACATGGCTGTGAAGGAAGTATTGCAGGATCTAACGTTCTCTGATGGAGTTCAAGCAAGAAGTGATGGCATCTTGCTTGACATAGCAGGAAATATATCACAAGATAACCATGTCCTTCACCTAATAAAGGACTGTTTAAGCTCATCATAGGCTGAGGATGACCGGAGTCCGGACCTCGAATAATGCAAATGTGTCCGGCAGACAGATTATGGTATGGATACATCCCCTCTCTGTCTTTATCAATTCCTAAATTATGATTTATAATGACAGTGCATATTATGAATTACAAGCACTACATTATGTCATGATGTAGCAAACAATCTATTACCATTAGATATGGTATTAGTACATACTAATCCAATCCGGAAGAAACCTTTTTATGCATCAATCAAAAACTATCTTACAAGCCACAACAATTCATATCCGTATTGGTGTACAATAACATATCTTGAAACATCTCTTATGGAGGAAAAAAAGGTAGAAAAAGGTTTGATTACCACTAACAACAATGTCCGAGAAAAGAACAATGAATTGTGGTTACCTCAGTACAACATATCAGAACTGAAAGCTATGTAATTGAAGAGACGTAGAAATTGCTTGGTTTACCGGCATTAAGCTTCAGGTAACACTTCAAAATCAACCCTGAGCTGCGAGTCATCGTCGTCGGAGACGACGCTACCTGCCCTCCTTGCCTTCCACTTCTCGTACTCGGGATCGTCGGTCGGCAGCTCGAACCGGCAGACGGGGCAGGTGTTCCGGATCCCCAGCCACGGCAAGATGCAGTCCTCATGGTAGAGGTGGCAGCAAGGCAGCTGCTTGACTCTTTCCCCCACCAAGATCCCGTCTTTGCAAACCGCGCACAGCGCGTTCGCCTTGGCAACATCCTCCTCCGTGAGGAGAACCGACGGAAGGCTTTCTATCACCGATTTGGCTGCAGGCGGGCTTCCCTTGAAGTTGCTATCGTGCTCGACGAATTGCCCGAACAAGACCTCGTACGCCTCATAGTCGGAAGCATCGCCCAAGCCCTCTTGTTCGTCGACGAAGTATACCCCGACGTCCTCGGGGTCCATCGGGTTTCTACCCGAGTTATTGACGGCCAAGAGAAACTCCCATTCGACATCTCCACCCCCGTCTTCGTTGTGATCGAGGTCTCTAATCTCCTCAGATCTCTCCTCATCGCCGACGATCGTGACACTGATCGCATCCCTTTCCTCGATGCGGCCGTCGACCTCCTCCCATTCGAAATCCTCGTTCGGATCCCTCCTGTTCTCGCCGAACCGGAGGCAGTCCCAGCGAAGGGGAAGACCCAGGTCGTCGGACACGGCCTGATCCCGTCCTTCGCCATCGTCAAGATCCGCGCCGATCGCCACGATCTGCTGCTCGTCGGAGTCGGAGTCTGATTCGTAGCCGACGACGCGCAGGCCGTCCGAATCGACGGGGCGAGCCCTGGAGAACTCGATCGACGCGGACGGGGAGCTCATCCTCCGGCCGACAAAGAAGTCGTCCGCGGCCCAGTCCGCCTCGCGGTCGACATGCCCCCCGTCGTCATCCTTCTCGAATCCCAACCCCAGTCGCGAGGCATAGTCACCGGAGGAGGCGATCCCCTCCGAGGTCTCCTCGAAAAACCGAAAGCCGGAGAAATCGAGGGGGTCTGGGAAGGCGTGCGAGACGATGGAGGCTGCGGTGGGGCGGGGGATCGGCGGAGGGGCGGGGCGATGGGGCACGCGGTCGACGAGGAAGAGGTCGGAGGCGTTCGCCATAGCTGGCCCCGTCTTCCAGATCTCGAGGGGGACGCAAAGCATCTATTTTGAGGTGAAGAGGAAGGTCCGCACGCGCGAAGCACGTGATTGACATGTGGGTCCGGATCAGCTGTTCGTTTCGAAGCAACTCTCGTAACCCTTGTTGCACGTGGCATTGCATCATTGGATCATGACATCTACTCTTGCCTTTAGATTGTCGTGTGGGAAGAACGGGTTCAGAAGCTGTTCGGGAGAGTGCAGCCGATCCCTGATGAGTTGATACGATACGGATCTGCTGTCCGACACTGGGCAAGCTTCTGAAGTTTCTTGCAACGTGGCAACTACATATTGGACAATACACGTCGGTGGAGAGAGGACGACGTGACACGCGTAAGCTGTTCTGGGAAGTCACAGCCGACGGTGCGGAGGGGAGCCGTCACACTGTGTATTCGAGACTTCAGTGCTAAGACAGCTCATTTCCACTTGGGAAACTTTCACTGGCCACGTTGAAAGCAGCTGTCTGGCGAGTTACAGCCGATCCAAGCCGGCCGGTGGCAGGGAATCTTTTGGTGAGTGCAACGTGCATTAAAATAGTTATATGATTCAATATTTTAATTTCTTTTTCTTTTAATTGTGGGTTAGCAATGGGAGGAGATGTGGTGGAAATGAGAGCAAGTAAAATAAATGGAGAAGAATTTAAGCAAGAGAAAAGACAGAAAAAAGAAAAAAGAAGAGGTGGGATGGTGACTTTTGGACAGATTTGATGCCAACATTCAAACAGATCCTTTTGTTCTCTCTCTTTTGTTTTTGTTTTTTTTTTGTCTTGTTTTCTTGCCACTAAAGAGGATTTTATTTTTATACTGAAATCAGTCCTTTTTTCCAAAATTAAAAAGCTATGAATCTATTTATTTAATACCAATATGACATAGGAATTACAAGTGATTAAAACAAGTAAAATAATAGATCCACATCTTTGAGAAATGATGCAAATTTTATTTTTCTCAATGAGAATATTTATTGATAATACAACCATTCACATTCTAATGTAGCTAACAACTACCTTTTTTTATGTAGGGATTATTAATGAAACACTATTGAATCAATCAAACCTTGCATGCACAATAACTTCATTCATATGATATACACATTTACTATCTTTTATGTGGACTATAAATGTTTGTTTTGAACCTGTGGTTGTCCTTTTGAGTCGTAAAGATTCTATTATCACTTTGTAGGTGTAGCACTTGGTTTATATTTAGGGGCATCTTTTTTTTATTATAAATGATAAAAAAAACTAATTTAAATTGATGATTTTTTTATATTGATTGTGTGACTTATTTTAATTTCAGGACAATTGAGTTAACCTCCACTAAATCAACAAAAAGTTTCACACAAGAACCATTAGGATTTTTTTAAATATTCTAATTAATTATAATAATTAGGATTTCTTGAATCGATTTTATGATCAAATATAACTTAATTCAATTTGGAGGTGTGACTTGATCACCTTCTACTCAACTAATCTAAACAGCCACAGAACCATTAGGGCATTATAGTAAGTTGATTAGTATTTGTTTTTATTTTATTATAATTAATGATCAAAATTAAAGATTTTTATCGAGCGTAACTTAATCAATTTTCACTAAAGCAATCTAAACTTCTATGAAACTAATTAAGTATAATTTTAAGATAATTAATGCTTTTTAGTTTTATAATATTTTATCAAAATTTAGAATTTTTGAATCAATATTGTGATCGAGTGTAACTTGATCAACTTCTACTAAACTAATGCATACTTTCTTATAACAAATAAGATGATTAGTACTTTTTTTATATTTTTTGATAGTTTTATAATAATTAATTATTACAATTTTAGATTTTTTAAGTCGATATTGTAATCGAGTATAACTTAATTAAATTTCAAGTATAGCTTAATTAGCTTCCACCAAACCAACTTAAACTTCCAAGGCATAATTCTAAATTAATTAATATCTTTCTTTTTTTCTATTTTTAAGATTTTACAGTAAATTAATTATTAAAAGTAATTTTTTAATAGGTTTTGTGATCAAATGTAGCTTATTTTAATTTCAAATGTAATATGATTAAGTACAATTATATATATATATATACGATTTTTGTTTATTATTTATTTATTTTTCTAGTAATTCAAGAAACAAATATGTCAATCTCCGTTGTTTCTCCCTCCTTCCGTCGGCAAAAGGAGGGTAGGGTTTCACCTCATCATCCCTCTCGCCGTTTCCAGCGGAGTTCAGTGCCCCAGTCGAACTGCTCGGTGGGATATCATCCATAATTTTTTCTGTTTGGTTTCATCTCGTTGCGATTTTGACTTAGGGTAATCTTGATTGTCTTCAATTTAATGGTTCTTGTAGTCATTGCTGATTCACACGACGATTTCGGGGCCAAAAATGTGATTTTGTGAGGGGAGTCGATAAGGAAAGAGAAGTTCGTGGTGTACTTGGAACGGATTCGACGAGTTTGTATTGAGCGTTAACTTTGTCGATTAATGGTAGACGATTAGAAAATTTTTATGCTTGATATGTCGTGATTTGGTGATGGAATGATGGGTTTCCTTGTGCTTTATCCATCAAATTTGTTCGAATTGCTACCAGGGGATATTCTTTGGATTCACAGGCTTTCTATTTGTTGGTCCTGAAGCTCCCTCAGTTCGACCTTCGGTCGCTACCATATCGGGACTGATCATCTTAGTTTGAACCAATGAAGGGGAAGCTGATTTGTTTGAACATTCATCGAAGTCTCAGCATGATCCTTTTTTTCTTTTCTTGATCTTAAATCTGTGTCTCTTGCTTGAGTAGTGAACTAAATCTTTTAATCGTGATTCCACATATGTTAAGGAACTTAATCTTTTCAAGTTGATTGTGGAAGAGTTAACTGTGGTGCTTGTTGTTTAACTCCTTGTACAAAGTTTAACTTGTTGTTTGACTCTTCTACTGGCCTTTTTATTGCTATCATCCTTTGTTGAGTACTACTGTGTCTCTTTCTGTGTGCTTATGAAGGACTCACTTGCTCTTTCCTTTGGCAGGTATATGTATTGTTGAAAGCAAAAGCATTTGGTAAAAGAAGCATCCTATGATAAGGATTCTCAGTTTCGTGGCCATGAAATTCCATCAGGTTGATTTGTGCTACAACACTCATCCAGTATGACTGACAATCGTAAAGGAAATGGTGTGGTTTAAGAAGCAAAGGATCCTTTAAACACGTCTGCCTATCCATTGATAAGGTGATTTATTGGATGGAAATTGTTTAATAGCATTAAAGGTAATGTGATCTTGATAAATATAGAAAGGAAGTTACAAGGTACTAGGTGTGTTATCCTTGTAAAAATATTTTCTCAAATGTCTCCTTCACAATCACACACATGCTTTCTTAAATTTGACTTCGATGAAGATTAGACTTTTGGAGTTGTAACATATGCAAAATGTAGGTGAGAGAAATTATTTATCTTCTCATAACTCTGAAATTAATGTGACTCAAGCTTATTTTCTCCAAAAATACAATGCATATATCTTTCTTGTATTCGAGTCATCTTGGAAAAATAAAAAGAAACATTCAGACTTTTTGATAGCTAGAATTAATTGTTATGACTCTTTGATAAGTGGGAATCATCCTGGGTAACATAAAATGGTTGGTGGCCCCCCTTCCTCACTCTACTTTTAGACTACTAGTTTGTTTGTTCTCATCTCTATTGAACAAATGTAAACAAGAGTAAGGAGAGAGAAGATCAAGCATGCAACAACTGTTGTTGCATGGATATAATTCAAGTAGGTTGGATTATTTCTCAAAGGCTCAAGGTCAAGGTTAGCTACAAGATATAATATAATTTCTTGTTCATATTGTTTGTAACCATTTCTATATTATTTTGATATGGTTCATAGATTATCACCAAAGAACCTTTATTTTTCTAACCACCCTACCCATAGCATGTTTCCTATTGGATGTAGGTGTGCAAAATGTACATTGATTAGGTTTTGTTATTTACTTTCTTCAAGGCAGTTTTCTATCTAAGGAAATGCCTGAAAGAGGCGATCCATGAATTGGAGTCTAAGATAGCTCTAATACTTTCTTGTCCTTCTGTATCAAAAACTTGAGAGAGAACCGCTCAAAATTACTAGTAAAATCCAGTTTCTGGCAAAAATATTTTGAGTCAAGATCTGTCTTTACTTCTTTCCATTATTGAAGTCAAATACACTGAGGGATCTTGAAATGGATTCATATTGCAATAGAGAGGATACTGATGACCCCAAAAGATCATCACTATTGTTGTCACTCTATCCACCTACTCTTACAACCAAACTCTTAGATTTTAAATAGTTGTCACATGGCATTGTTAGGTCTTCAAATGCAGTTGAGATGTACTGCCACTATCTTACCCATGCTTTCTTTCTTCACCATGATAAATTAATGGCATGTTCATTAACTCCATTTTCCATTGGTCATTATATCTGGACTTCTAATTCTCTGTCCGGCCCTTCTCAATGTTAATTCTTTTATCATAACTTTACAACCTTATCCTTTTTTCCCACCTAGTAATAGATATTTGTGAAGGGACTTTCACATAGATAGTGGGTGCATTCATGGTACTCTTGGTAATGGCTTTAAAAGTCTCTTTCAACCTTACCAGGAAAGAAGGAACTACAATTATAAGGGTTCTTGTAGATCAAGGGGAATAGGGTAGGTCCAATACAAGGTAGATGGGATCATATCATGTTAGGGAAGGTAACAAAACCTTTGTGGGAATAGGATGAGGTCTAGAAATGGTCCTGAGGTAAATGTTACAAGAGATGTTTGTAAGGGAAGGGAGCACCTGCTGAATCCCATGGCATCATGATGTTGTGTTCATTGGAGGAAATGCATTTATCACCCAATCCCAACCACATCTTCTCTCATTCAACACATTATAGGAACAATCAACCAGTTAGTTTGATGATGTATATTCAGGTCTCATTCTTTTAGATCAAGGGTTTGAATCCTTGCTTAACATCTTGTGCATCTCTAGATCGAGGGTTCGAAACCTTG